ATTCGTATTTGATAGGGAATGATGTTATGTCCGTATCAACATTTAATCATAAATAATATCTACAATTAGGTCAACAATCGATAATTAACTTCAAAACTTTTTTAAAAATGTCTTCATGGAAGAGGAATAAGAAAGAAACTCTTTTAGAGATAATTAAGATAAACGGATCATTAGATGGTGGTCGATACCGTTTATTATTTTTGTGAATTTTTTAAGTGATCTTAGTTATAACGTGATATATATCAAACCATTTAGTTGTCAAAGAAACATTATCATTGACAATATATATGTGGTATATCGCTTATTATATTTTTGCTGAAAATTTTATATTAATAGAAGATATTTATATCAAAATCCTGCGCAACGCACGGGTATAAAATCTAATATCTGAAAATAGAAAATCAACCAACAAAATAAAACTAATAAATGCAAGTAAGAAGATATGACTATCAGACTATCCGATCCATGTCTACGTGTTTGTATTCTTAATGAAAAGAGAGAGGAGAATATAATATAAATAAAGCAGACCAGTCATAATTCTCGACATAATAGTCTTACATTTAAATAGTAATGTCGGAATGCTAGTCGATATTTGTAGGTGAAGTATAATAAAACTGAATTCTACATTGTTTTTATTTTTTTGCAGTGAACTCTACTTTTGTTTAAAACAGCTTATATATGCTTAAACATGATTTTATGAATTGATTGGAGCTAGTGACATTAGCAGCCTCGCCTCACTAACTATCGAGAGTTTTGCATTATTTGTTGTCATTTGCTTTTTCTCAGTACTCTAAACATGGGTCATATTCATATATCTAGCTATATTATTTGTAACAACTAGATGAATACCCACGCTACGCGTGAGTTGTTTTTAAAATTACTAGGTTATTTAGCCGCGATACTCGCGGCTTGTTGCATACTTTGTTATATGTTTGGTATTTATTTTACTTAGATTTTTTATTTGAATTTAAATTTAAGGGAAAATAAAAATGAATGACATTAAATTCAAATTTGATTTTTTTTCTACAAAATTTGAATTGTATTCATCTATATACAATGATATTTATGTTTTTTTAAATAATTAAGAGTATATAACTGCTTTTAGTTAATATAATATTTGATGTCAATTAGAAATTTTAAGAGTGTTGATGATAAAATTAATGACTTTAGTAATATAATACGAATACATAAATGATACTTATTTTGTTAAAATGTGAAAATATTAAACCCTACTATAAATATTAAGTTACATCGTTTTCAATTTATAATTTATATTATAATAGTAAAGTTGATATTCTAAATTTATCCAAATTTAAAAGTTATTGTTGCATTTTAAAGAATTTAAATATAATGGTAATACAACAAATTTTCAATTATTTTCTACTTAGTGCAAATATCATAACCAAATGTTATAAATATTGGGTTTGGGCTGAGTTTAAGGAATAGATGTAAGAATGGAGATGAATTCTATTGTAGAAGATAAGCGAAGAGAGATGAATTATTTTTTTATACAATTCAAGCGTCTGCTTCCACTACCACTTAACATTTATGTTGTTTCGAAGCATACTTAATTTTATTTCCCTTCTACTCATCATTAGTCTTCTTGATTTTCTTCTTAATCTCACTTCAAAAATATCAAATTTATTTTGAGTTCAGGTTTATATAAATTATTTTTTTGGATAGAGAAAATCAACTTTTATATATCTTCTCTTGTTGCATTACAAACTTTGAGTTTCTCTACTCGCTCTTTTTAAAAGACTTATGAAATAACACATACGATTGAATATGAGTAAGGTTTCTTGGTTACATGTCATCTCCTCGTCACAGCCTCTTACAAAATTGACAAAAAATAATATTGAAACACCATTAGTCGGATTATAAAAGAAAGTGTTACAAAATTTATCAATATTATGAAATTTGGTATATAATGGTTAGTGATATGTGTATATTATTATTTATAGAAGACAACATAGTTACGTTTAACAACTATTCAACTTTAACAATTATGTTTAAATACCATTTATGAGTAAGTTAATTGTATGTACATCCTAAAAGTTATGTTACATTTCAAAGAATTCATTGTGTATAATTCATTTTGTATTAATTGTATTTAAAATATTGTTGCAATTTAGTGTGAGCATTAACAACATAACGATAATTATTAGTATGGAGGTTAAAAAATATGATAAAATGCATAAAATTTAATTCTTATAAAAAATCTTAAATTATTACATGGAATGATGTGGATGAAATTTGTTTCAATATAAATATGATTGAATTTTTTTAAAAGGCTCTTAAGATTCGATATCTTGCATTTGCTCGTATTTTACTATTATTTATTTATGTAAAAATCTACAAACATATGTTATCTATTACTTTACAAAATAAATTGTTGATATAAACTCACAGATAATTTGTTTGTTTGTTGATATAAACTCCCACATAATTGTTCAAATTCATATTATTTTCCAAGTGGCTAACTAAATTTATTTTTCTTATAAAAATTATATAAACTTCAATCTAATTAAAATAATCAAAAATCCCAAGGATAACTTCTATCTTTCTTCTTTTTTTTTTTTTAATTCCACTCATCAATTTAAATTCTAGTGCTAGATTTTATACTAATGTTTTTATGTTTATAGGATTTAATAAAATGATTTTTGTTTCAATAATTGTTATTTTCTTCTATATTTCATTCTATTTAAGTGTGAGTGTTAGGTTTCATTCTAATTTTCTATTCTACCTAAATTTAATTTTCTTGAACCATATGATTTCATTTTTTTTAATCTTAAATACCAAATTTGTTTTAACAAAATTCTTTTTAATTGAAAAATACTTAAACCTCAAATTTTAAATAAAATAAACAGTATAGCGATTTTTATATAATTATCTATCGGATCACAAAAAGTAAATATAATGATACATATATTAAAAATAAATTACAAAATTTATTCCAGATAAGAAAAAGGTGAGAAATATATATTTATTAAATGTAGTACAATAATTTATTTCATTAAATATTGCATAATTAAAAAAAATTATATGAATATATTAGAAAAAAATCAAATATCTAAAGTAGATAATGGAAATGGATATTTTCAACTTCATTGTTGTGCTATGATTGGAATTGATATATTTAACTCTCCATCAACAATAAATCTGACAATTTTATTATATCCATCAAAACTTTTAGTATACATATATGAAATTAACCCCAAAAAAATGAAAATTAAAGAATAAATAAGTATATTTAGTATGGCTTTTGAAAAATATACAAAAATAAATACAATATTGGATATATATAATACTTTCTAAAATAAATATATATAGAATCAATTTCTTGATTTTTAATCCATATAAAAATATAAAAATAGGCACATAAATATAGTAGAAGAAGATGAGAGAATGATTATCTAAAATAGACAATGAAGATGCATCTTTCAAAAAAAAAAAAAAAAAAAAAAACTAATGTAAGAACACAAAACAAAAAATTATTTAAGATTTGAGATATGATGGAAGAAGGTGAGAGGATTAGAGGATGAGAGAAGGAGAAATGTATATTTATAGGATAAGAAGTGAGTTAAGTTACATTTAAAAAAATAAATTATGGGAGTTACAATTCTAATTTATTGTGTATTGAATAAAATTGAGTGGAAAATATAGTTAATGTATAATTTTTAATGATTTCAGTTTGTATATTAAAGTGTGAGTTAAATGTGTGTTATTTATAATTTATTTAAAAATAAAAATTTTTAAGTTACATTGCCAAATGGACCAATAAGAAGAGAGTTAAACCTTAATTTTATATGTATGATTTGGCTGGGATTGTTTGTGCAGGATCACGACGTCCATGTTTTGGTTAATGGATTCCATCTTTATCTAATGGTTGGCATTTTGAAAATCTTGTAAAATTTGTTAGCTAGTCTTTCATAATTTCTACTATATTTCGTACTATATAGGATTTCTAATATAGGACACTAAAAAAGTAAAAATCATATTTTGATTATAGAAATAGTTTCTCCAACTTTCTCGTAGAATTCTCTTGTAATAGGTTATGGTAAAAATAATCAAATTAATTATTTTCCATGCTCTATATCCACCATCATATATATTTGTAGAACTAGAAAGATTAAACGATCTCTAACAGAAATAATCAAATTAATTATTTTCCATGCTCTATATCCACCAGCATATTTTAGGGCTTGACACGCGACATGGTTCTTATAATGTCCTCATTTTGATGAGGTGACGTTGAAATTAAGGAAAAGATATTCATTTCTGAATACTAACACCACTCAAAGAAAAATCCAATATATGAATTATTTCAACACTGCTTTATTTTTGGGCAAACTTAGTATATCATAGGATTTTGTGCAAAAAAAAAACCCCCAACCCACTAATTTTTATAAATTTATTCTCCACCTCCAAAAAATACAAATTAATCATACAAAATTTAAAATAATATGCAATGTAATATTTTTTCTTTATCGTCAAGTTTGTAAAAGATAAGAGTCAGTACTACTTTATGATGCATTTTCAAGAGCGCATTCTTGTTTGAATTTAACAAATAGAATTTTGAAACTCTAAGGTAAATAAGAAACGGAAATATATAATATATATAAAAAAGGAAATATTATTCAATTTCACATATTGATAATTCAACTCGTAGATGATCTCTATGATCCTATATATGGCTTACGGAAAAGTCGGCTTTTTCATACCCCCACATAATAACTGTGTTGAATTCATACATTTATCTATTGCTTGTGCTATAACATACCCCAACTTGTACTAAATTTGAATTCCAAACCTACACTCAACTTTTTGTGCTAAATAATACAAAAACGTGCAAAACGCCTAACACTGTTAACGAACCGTGAAGTCATGCTGACGGGGAGTCCACGTGTGCAGAGAGTTCCAAAACGACGTCGTTTTGGATTGAATTGAGATGCCAAAGTAAAACACAAAACGACGTCGTTTTGGACATTGTATTCACTTCATCTTCTTTCTCATTCTCGATTCTAGAACTGTGAGTGATAAACCCTAAGTGATTTGGGGGTTTTCGATTCTCGTGGATTCCGTCTCAAGGTGGCTTCGAATCCAACGTTACTAGCAATGATTACCAATGAGGAAGGCCAAGAGAGCGATCCGTCGAGGTAATTTCACTTATATCTGGGTTTTTTGAAATCAATTTCGGATGTTTTCACATCGATTCCTTGAGTTGCTAAGTAGATAATTATGGATAATTTGTGTCTCTGCATAGTTTTTGTTAGTTTATTGTATCTGAATTGTCTCGATTTTGAGCCACAATAGAATTTTTTTTATTGAACACCAAGTGTTCGATAGAATGCTAATTTCTTATAATCCTCTTTTTTTCGTTTTTCAGCTCTGAAGATACGACTTTCCAGATCTACTACAATGGAAAGTTTGTAGTTTCAGCCGGAAATGTTCTTACATATGTTGGAGGCGAGATTCACATGCTTGAATGTAATCCGGAAGCTGTTTTTACTAACATGACTGGGTCATTGGGGTTATCTCTAATTGGGCAAAGGATCTGGTTTAAGCTACCTTATGAGACTTTTCAAGAGTTAAAGTTGTTGTATGTTGAAGCTGAAAATTTCCAGAGAATGTGTTTAGCTGCGAAGTAGACAAAAGCTGTTGATATATTCTTGGAAAATGATGAGTCTCCTGAAGAAGGTAATGATGTGAATGATGTGACTGCTAGAGTTGGTGAAGAAGACAATGAAGTGAATGGTAGAGAAAAAAGAAAAAGAAGAAAGGAAAGGAAGCTGAAAAAGAAATTGAAGATCCTCCTCAAAAGAAAATGAAAATAACTAGAGAAGGTATGACTTTGCATTGTGCTCGATGTAGCATTTCAGGACATAACACTAGGAGGTGTCCAAATGTTGGGGTCCTAAGCAAAAGAGCATCTAAAAGACAAGAAGAAGGTCCAAGCCAAGCAAGTCAAGCATCTCAAAGTTCACTTAATGATTAATTGTGTAATTGTCTGGTTTGCTAAACTATTATGATTCAAAATTTAGGATGATGGTTTTTGGATTGTTTTGTTTTAGGATGATGGTTTTTGTTGTTTGTTAAACTGCCTCGGATTTGTTGTTTTAGGATGATCAAAACCTGCATTTTGATTTATTTTTAGCTAATGAGACTTGGTCCTAATGTCCTGCAAATCAAAGAGATTAAACCTGCAATTTTGTGTGTCGATATCTCTACAAATTGAGACTGAAACTCAATCAAAATCGATTCAAACTGAAACTAAAACTCAATCAAAATCAATTCAAACTAACAAATTTCTCTTAACTTAACAAAGTCATTCCTCATACAAACACTTAAAAGATGAAAACATACACCACAAACAAGACTACACTACATACAATGATATTTTTGAAACAACGTAGAGATTGGATCTCTTTCTCACTGCAAACGATCATAGCTTTGAGCTCTCCAATCTCTTTCTCACATCCTTTTGCAAGTGCTTTAATAGCTTCAATCTCCTTTTCATAGCTACTTGCAACGGCCTCACATGTGCGTGTTTCACATGCTAGACTCTCCATCTCAGCTTGTATCTTCTCAACAACTCCCTCAACCTCTTTCATCTCTTCAACCATAGCTATATCGGTCCATTTGAACAAATGTCCATTATCCTACAACAAAATTATGTTTATACATCATTTTCTTCTATTTAAATGATAAATCAAAACCAACAATACCTCTTTTGACCCATATGGACAACAATGAAAAAGTCTCCCTGGATTCTTCAATGTATCTGCAGTTTTGATTACAGATTCTGCACCACATCTACATTTTTTAGGTAGTCCTCTTTCTGCTCCACGCCGATTGAAGCTACCATTCATCCCTTCAACAAATTCAAAATCAAAATTCTCATCTATATTATCTAAATTGATGTACAACAACTAAAACGAACACAAGAATCACTTACCTGAACTATATGATGAAGACATTGGATGCTAATCACTTGGATTCAAAGAAAATCGAAAACCCCCAAATCTCAGGCAACAGCGGTAATGCAGTCTCTGATGAGCTTAGCTCCACAGAAGGCAATAATAGCAGAGACTGGTGAAGAAGTTGAAGTAGATGAGGTTAAGATTAGCACAGTTGTAGCGGTTAAAGCTGGTGAAACCATACCAATTGATGGAATTGTGGTGGATGGAAACTGTGAAGTAGACGAGAAAACCTTAACCGGCGAAGCATTTCCTGTACCTAAACAGAGAGATTCTACGGTTTGGGCTGGAACTATCAATCTAAATGGTATGTAATCCTCTTTTAAGAGCTTCAAGCTTTATACCTTTTTGTTTTATCTTTCACTCTTTTGATCTATCTCCCTGTGTTTTGCAGGTTACATAAGTGTGAAAACAACTTCTTTAGCGGGTGATTGCGTGGTTGCGAAGATGGCTAAGTTAGTAGAAGAAGCTCAGAGCAGTAAAACCAAATCCCAAAGACTAATAGACAAATGTTCTCAGTACTATACTCCAGGTAAGCAAAAACATAAACAAAACTTATTTTTCCGGGTTTCTTTATGTCCTTGAATCGCGTAATTTGAGACCTCTGTGTTTCTTGTTTTATTTCAGCAATCATCGTAGTATCAGCTTGCGTCGCCATTGTCCCGGTTATTATGAAGGTCCACAACCTTAAACATTGGTTCCACCTGGCATTAGTTGTGTTAGTCAGTGGCTGTCCCTGTGGTCTTATCCTCTCTACACCAGTTGCTACTTTCTGTGCACTTACTAAAGCAGCAACTTCCGGGCTTCTGATCAAAAGTGCTGATTATCTGGACACTCTCTCAAAGATGAAGATCGCTGCTTTCGACAAAACCGGGACTATTACTAGAGGAGAGTTCATTGTCATAGATTTCAAGTCACTCTCTAGAGATATAACCCTACGTAGCTTGCTTTACTGGTAAAACTAAACTTGTGTTCTGACTAAAACAAGTTTGCTGAGATAACTTATGACTGAAACTTTCTTGTTATACAATGTTTCAGGGTATCAAGTGTTGAAAGCAAATCAAGTCATCCAATGGCTGCAACAATCGTGGACTACGCGAAATCCGTTTCTGTTGAGCCTAGGCCTGAAGAGGTTGAGGACTACCAGAATTTTCCAGGTGAAGGAATCTACGGGAAGATTGAAGGGAACGATATCTACATCGGGAATAAAAGGATTGCTTCTCGAGCTGGTTGTTCAACAGGTACTTGTAATAAAAAAACTTAATGTAGTTTTTTGACGTTTTGTTATTCTTTAGTCTGATCACTTGACTGTTTCTTCTTGACACTTCCAGAGATTGAAGTTGATACCAAAGGTGGAAACACTGTTGGATACGTCTATGTAGGTGAAAGACTAGCTGGAGTTTTCAATCTTTCTGATGCTTGTAGATCCGGTGTATCTCAAGCAATGACAGAACTGAAATCTCTAGGAATCAAAACCGCAATGCTAACTGGAGATAGTCAAGCTGCGGCAATGCATGCTCAAGAACAAGTGAAACTAAAAACCATAATTTTAATCACTCTCTAAAGCCAAGAGGTTATTTAATAATACCTTGACATGTTTTATGAAACAGCTAGGGAATGTTTTAGATGTTGTACATGGAGAACTTCTTCCTGAAGATAAATCCAAAATCATACAAGAGTTTAAGAAAGAAGGACCAACCGCAATGGTAGGGGACGGTGTGAATGATGCACCAGCTTTAGCTATAGCTGATATTGGTATCTCCATGGGAATTTCTGGCTCTGCGCTTGCTACGCAGACTGGTCATATTATTCTGATGTCTAATGACATAAGACGGATACCACAAGCGGTGAAGCTAGCGAGAAGAGCTCGGCGCAAAGTTGTTGAAAACGTGTTTCTTTCCATCATTTTAAAAGCAGGAATACTGGCTTTGGCATTTGCTGGTCATCCTTTGATTTGGGCAGCGGTTCTTGTTGATGTAGGGACTTGTTTGCTTGTGATTCTCAATAGTATGTTGCTGCTGCGAGAGAAGAAAAAGATTGGGAACAAAAAGTGTTACAGGGCTTCAACATCTATGTTGAATGGTAGGAAACTCGAAGGCGATGATGATGATGTTGTGGACTTAGAAGCAGGCTTGTTAACAAAGAGCGGGAATGGTCAATGTAACTCAAGCTGTTGTGGAGATAAGAAAAATCAAGAGAAGGTTGTGATGATGAAACCAAGTAGTAAAACCAGTTCTGATCATTCTCACCCTGGTTGTTGTGGCGATAAGAAGCAAGACAAAGTGAAGCCACTTGTGAGAGATGGCTGTTGCGGTGAGGAAACTAGAAAAGCAGTGGGAGACATGGTTTCATTGAGCTCATGTAAGAAGTCTAGTCATGTCAAACATGACCTGAAAATGAAAGGTGGTTCAGGTTGTTGTGCTAACAAAAGTGAGAAGGTAGAGGAAGTAGTGGCAAAGAGCTGCTGTGAGAAACCAAAACAGCAAATGGAGAGTGCTGGAGACTGCAAATCTGGCCATTGCGAGGAGAAGAAGCATGCTGAGGAAATTGTTGTCCCGGTGCAGATTATTCCTCAGGCATTAACTGGTTTGGAAATAGAGTTGCAGAGAAAGGAACCCTGCAAAACAAGCTGTTGCGACAATAAAGAGAAGAAGGTTAAGGAAATAGGTTTGTTGCTTGCTAGTGAGGACAAATCTTACCCGGAGAAAGAAGTGCTGATTAAAGATGAAGGAAACTGCAAGTCTGGCTGCGAGAACAAGGGGACAGTGACACAAAGGTGCCATGAGAAGGCAGGTTTGGACATGGAAACTGGTGTAAGTTGTGATCTCAAGTTGGTTTGTTGTGGGAAGACAGAAGGGGAAGTTGCAGGAAAAACTGATCTGGAGATAAAGATTGAAGGACACTGCGAGTCTCGTTGCTGCAGCGATGAAAAACAAACCGGGGAAATAACTCTTGCTTCTGAGGAAGAGACAGACGATCAAGATTGCTTCTCGGGATGTTGTGTGAATGAGGGGACAGTGAAACAAAGCTTCCATGAGAAGAAGCATGCTGTGTTGGTGGAGAAGGAAGGTTTGGACATGGAAACTGGTGTATGTTGTGATGATCTCAAGTTGGTTTGTTGTGGAAACACAGAAGGGGAAGTGGAGGAGCATTGTGATCTGGAGATAAAGGATGAAGGACATTGCAAGTCTGGTTGCTGCAACGATGAAAAGCAAACAACGGAAATCACTCTGGCTTCAGAGGAAGAGACAGACAGCATGGATTGTTCCTCGGATGTTGTATGGACAAAGAAGTGACAAAAATCTGTGGTGAGAAGCCTGTTAGCTTGGTGGTTTCAGGCTTGGAAACTGAAGGTGGTGGTGATTGCAAATCACATTGTTGTGGAACTTGTTTGACACAAGAAGGGTCTTCAAAGTTGGTCAATGTGGAGAGTGCTCAATCCGGAGGCTGTGGAACAGTGAAAGTGTCTAGTCAAAGCTGTTGCACTAGTTCTACTGATCTGGTGCTATCTGACTTGCAAGTGAAGAAGGATGAGCAATGTGAGAGCTCAAACAGAGCCGTTAAGTCAGAGACCTGTTGCAAAGTGAAGATTCCAGAGGCTTGTGCATCGAAATGTAAGGAAAAAGAGAAGCGTCACAATGGTAAAAGCTGTTGCAGGAGTTATGCAAAAGAATTTTGCAGCCACCGCCACCATCATCACCACCACCACCACCACCACCACCACCATGTGATTGCTTGATGGAGATTGCGATTGAATAGCTTAAACTCTTGCATCCATCTATTCACACAACGTGTCGTCTTGCATTCCATTAATGGCGAAATTAAAAAACATAGATAAATTTGTTCCAGCAAAGGCAGTAGTATTAGACTAAGCAACTGTGTTATTCATAAAGACAATGCTAGTGATCTTTTTTAGTCCTTTATGTATGCCAAATCCTGAAGTGTTTGAACTTTGATCTTGGAGTCTTTAAACCAAACACAACAAGAAGTCAAAACAGATATTGGATCAAAGTTAGTGTTACCAATTACCACCATTCATAAATCTTTCCTTTCTTTTCCAAATGACTGGAGGAGTAGAAACCAAAGTAGGACATGATCTAATGAATCTGTGAAAGGGTAGGAGCAAATGATATTAAGATAATATGATTTCTCATCGATGAGATAAAAGAACAATGATCACACCGAAAAAAAGCTTTTATAATAAAGCTGATGAAAATGCTAAAAGATGGAGGGATTATATACAAGATGCTAACACTGTGCCAAATACTATATGATGATACTAAATGGAATTGTGAAGAGACTAACAAATCCTTTAAGGCCTGTTTTCATTTATACGCTAACTTTAAATTCCTTTTTCCAAAGCATTGCTGATCATTCTTCTTCCCCTTCTTGACAAAAAAAAAGATTTTTGGAAGAGAGAAGCAAAATCCAGTACATGTGTCCTGTAATAAAACCGTCTTGAGAGAGTCTTCACACCGAGGGTAATTATCAACAAGTTCCATGGTCTTTGAAACACAATGCACCTTCAACGTAATTTTTTTTATGTTGACCCCAAAAAATCAAAATAAATGACTTTATCTTCGCAAGTTTTTTTTTAAAAAATGTTTCTCTATTAATATATTGGGGATTAATAAAAGAATTGTCGTATGTTGACCCCAAAAAACTTAGAATATGTATTTGTTTTGAGCTAACTCTAATCGAGCATCTACCTCGATAATACTTGGTTTCAAGACTAATTAAGATCGAGTTTTTAGAAATAAAGTCATGCACAAAATTTGATTTAAATATTTATACTTATGAGTTATGACAATTTGTATTAAAAAAAAAAAAAAATTTCTAACATAAATTTGCTGGACTTAATTCAAATTTTAAGAAGTTCCGTATACTGAAAAAATGATCATCAATTCTTTTTTTGTTTAAAGAGTTAGACTAGTCTATAATCCATTATGGATTAGAAAACGTTGTCAAAATATATATGTAAAGTAAAACGTTTCATAAAATATAGGAACTAAATCTTGAAAATAGGTACTGGCGTGATAGTTCTTGGAGATAGGAACTGGCCTGGAAATTAGGAAGGATATAGGAATTGAAAACAAATAACTAAAAATAGCCTACAAAATTTACATTGTAAAATATAACTTTAAACCCCATAAAAACTTTAATAAAAAAAAACAATATATAAATAAATCCGAAAACAGTACAATTTTTAGGTTTAATAAAGGTTTCAAAAATTTAGTAATAATTCTTAAATCACTTGGTACCCCCTTATTAAACTTTCAACAACCTTATACACCAAACAAATTTGTGGTATTTTTAATAATTTTGAATTTTTGTCGTAGTTTTGGAAAACATGATTTAAGAATTTGGAGCTTTTTCGAATTACCCTATAATATTTTATAGAGTTCATTATCCCTTAGAATTTAGGACCTTACCCTCGTGTACAAAATTTGTATGGGCCATTGGGCTATTGGGATTTATGTTAGACTATGGTCACTTAAATTGTTTTTAGATAGAAGAAGTCCATTTTTTTTAAACCCCATTATTTTGATAAATTTTAAAACTTATTATTGCTGTTAAAAAAAACACAAGACGTTAACCAATTACATGATTAATACACGCCACTCATTGTATTTTTAAATCCTTAAAAAATACAGTTTTGTATTGTGGTCGCTGATTGAGTAATGCTAGATCGAACATATCAAGCAAAACAAATATAATTTGTGTAGGATAAACAGATTATGTGAAAAGAGAGAGGAGAATATAATCTAAATAACGCAGACAAGTCATAATTCTCGACATAATAGTCTTACATTTAAATAGTAATGTCGGAATGCTAGTCGATATTTGTAGGTGAAGTATAATAAAACTGAATTTTACATTGTTTTTATTTTTTGTAGTGAACTCTACTTTTGTTTAAAACAGCTTATATATGCTTAAACATGATTTTATAGATTAGCAATAGGATATACCTAGGGAAATACTTGGTATGTATATATGAATTGATTGGAGCTAGTGACATTAGCAGCCTCACTAACTATCGAGAGTTTTACATTATTTGTTGTCATTTGCTTTTTCTCAGTACTCTAAACATGGGTCATATTCATATATCTATATTATTTGTAACAATTTGGCTGGGATTGTTTGTGCAGGATCACGACGTCCATGTTTTGGTTGATGGATTCCATCTTTATCTAATGGTTGGCCGGTGTGCTATTTTGAAAATCTTGTAAAATTTGTTAGCTAGTCTTTCATAATTTCTAATATATTTGGTACTATATAGGATTTCTATAATATTTAGGACACTAAAAAGTGAAAATCATTTTTTGATTATAGAAATAATTTCTCCAACTTTCTGTAGAATTCTCTTGTAATAATAGGTTATGGTAAAAATAATCAAATTAATTATTTTCCATGATCTATATCCATATCATATATATTTGTAGATCTAGAAAGATTAAACGATCTCTAACAGAAATTTGTTGAACATGAAATGCTGCATATTTTAGGGCTTGACACACGACATGGTCCTTATAATGTCCCAATTTTTGATGAGGTGACCTTGAAATTAAGGAAAATATATTCATTTCTGAATACTAAAACCACTCAGAGAAAAATCCAATATATGAATTATTTCAATACTGCTTTATTTTTGGGCAAACTTAATATATCATAGGATTTTGTGCAAAAAACCCCTCCAACTCACCAATTTTTATAAATTTATTGTTATGAATCTCGTGTATTCTCTTTGATTAATGAATGAGGTTACAACTTATATATATACACAATATGGGAGACAAATCCCAATTGGACTAGGAAACCCTAAAGCCCAAAGCCCACTAAGACTAACATAAACTGTCATTGGGCGAATCTTCTAGAAGATAGACATGGACCTTCTAGAACATGGACATGGGCCTTGTAGAACATGGACATGGGCCACAGTTATGGAGTCCATCCGTAATGTGGTTTAAAACACTCCCCCTTGGATGACAAAACCGTGTAGATGCCAAAGGATCTTTGTAATGCCCTTGGGGATGCTGCCTCATTAAAACCTTACCAGGAAAACCCATTGGGACAAAACCACTGTGAAGGAAAAAGAGTACAACACGCATTACTCTCCCTGTTTTGGTCATCCCTGCAAGTCCTTAAGTCTCCGCATTCCAATTTGATGCGTGAGCTTCCTTAATGTTGTTGTCGGTAGTGCTTTAGTGAAGAGATCGGCTGAGTTGTTGCTTGAACGAACTTGCACCACTTGAACTTCACCATCCTTTTGTAGGTCATGCGTGAAGAAGAACTTAGGTAGAATGTGCTTTGTCCGATCTCCCTTGATGTAGCCATCCTTGAGCTGAGCGATACATGGCTACGTTGTCTTCACATATGATGGTTTTTGATGTTGTAGTAGCTGCGCCTTGAAGAAGGCTGCCTACGTACCCTTGGAAGGGATCAAGCCACACGTAGTTCCTATTTATTAACCATGCCATAATCTGATCTTACCTGCATCAGCAAAACAAACTAAACCAAGGCAAACTAGACCTTTTTTGGTTAGATCAGTATAGAATAAACCCAAATAAACAAAGTAGGAAGAATAAACTTTAAAATTTAACCAAACCTTCCTTCAAACCTTTCCAGTGCCTTTGGGTTGATCATGAACTAAATTTAGACAAAGGAGGTTCACGGCAAAACATATGTCTGGTCTAGTGTGGCTAGCCAAGTACATTAACGCTCCTATGACACTGAGGTATGGCACTTCAGGACCGAGAACTTCTTCCTCGTCCTTCTTTGGACCAAATGGATCACTATCCAATCCAAGGATTCTCACCCCCATTGGGCCTGGTCAATGGGCGGGCCTGGTCCTTATTAAATATCCTTGAGTACTTTTCAATATATGCATTTTGATGCACAAGGATTCCATTATTCATGTACTCAGGTTGTAATCTCAAACATAACTTAATTATTTCCTAGGTCTTTCTTTTAGATATACTCAACTGTTTGGTCGATTACCCAGAGGTTTAAATTATTCATATACACTGCTATGATTACAAATCCTTTGTTTGCAAACCTCTTTATGAAAATACATGGACTAATGGGATCATTTATAACATTCCATACGCCCATTTGGTCTAAGTCCATGAAAGGATTTGTCCAGCCTTATGCAGTGATATTCTCGAGAATCTTTCTTATCTTTGAGCTCAATACCCTCTGGTAATCTCATATATTATCCAGTGGACTTATATAAATATGCATGCATTACATCCATTAGCCGCAAATCAAATCTTTTCCTTTATATAGCCAGACTTAGCATCCACCACAGGGGAGTATGTTTCTTCATAATCTATCCCCGGTCTTTGTGAGAATCCTTGTGCTATAAGCCGTGCCTTATATCTCACGATTTCATTATTCTCATTTCTCTTCTTCACAAAGACCCATTTGTGTCCTACTGGTTTTTACATCGAATGGTGTCCTTAAGGTCGGACCAAACTCATTCATTTTCTTAATGATTCTTAGCTCCACGTTTTATGGTCTTGTACCATTTAATCAATCAAGTCTTTGAGTGCACTCTAGTATGGACGTGGGCTCCTGATCCTCATTTATATTCATAAATTCAAGTGCTACCTTGCATGCAAAATCATCTTATGTCGACATTTCTTATATGTTCCATTATGTTCCAGACATGATATAATCGATTTGAGATTTATTATGGTCAGGACCTTTAATACTTTGCAGCTTGGCGTCCCAAGCTACATTATATGGTACCTGTACCTTAGAGCCGGCCGGCCTTATCTCCATGTCTGGGATGGTTTCCTTAATAACCTCGGATTCCTATTGCACCTTTCTTTAATTTCCGAGGGTTTTTATCATTGGAACGTATTGGTCTACCATGTTTCTTACGTTGTCTAGACTCTGTAGCAACTTGATTGTGTTCCTTGTGAACATCAATACGTACTGGTGCATTGCAAGCTGGTATGTACGCTTTTATAACTCTCTTTGGGTCATCAAAGGAATCTGGCAATTCA